GGACTGAAACTTCTAAAGTAGAAAGAGCCCTACTATCTGCTGTGTAAACTAATCTTGTGTTTAAGCTGTTCCATCTGAAACCAGGAGAAAGCGATGCACCAATACCTTTTAATGTATCTTTTAGATATTTTTCTCTTTCAATTCTATATACAATCATTAAGCAAGATTTCCGTATTCTAATCGATTAAGACTGTATTTTACTTCATTAATTCCTGTAACAGTATCTAAAAGACTCTCTGGCGTTGACCCACCTAATGAAACATTAGATTTGTATAACCATCGTTGAAATTTATCAATTTCATTGTTAAAAACTTCTGTTCCGTAATCTATTAATTCAGAAATTAATATAATTAATTCACTATCTCTACTATCCAATAACGAATGTTCTACTTTCTTTTTATTATACGTAGTTTGTGGAACACCAATTATTTTTAGTATTGATTTTACAGGTTTATTTAAACGTTCACTAATGACTTCAATAGATTGATAAGGAATACCTTCTCTAATGATATTTACACGTTCTAACTTATTATTCCAAGTATAAATTTTATTATCAGATTCTAGTTTCCAAGATTTCTCTAAAGCTCCTTTTGTACGAGCTTTATTAATACTTCGTTTAGTATTAAATCGTTGTATATTTTTTACTTCTGTAGGCATAGCAGTAATTTTGTTTTAAATATACAATATTTTTGTTGCTTTATAAAATTTTAAATAAATATATTTAATCTTCATCAAACATTTCTTTAAATGAAACAAACTCTCTCCCAGGAAGAATTAAGTTTAGAATAACACCTATGATTGAAGCTAATGCCATTCCTTCTAAAGAAAATAAGTCACCAATATGAATTGCTGCTCCACCAATCCCTATTATTAAAATAACAGATGAAATAATAAGATTTCGTTTTATTTTAAAATCTACTTTATTTTCGATTAACATTCTTAATCCACTTGATGCAATAATTCCAAATAATAAAATGGATACACCACCCATAACTGGAGTTGGAATAGTTGTTAATAAAGCTGAAATTTTACCACAAAAACCAAACAAAATAGCAAAACATGCGGCACCAATAAATACGTAAATACTGAATGCTCTTGTAATTGCTAAAACACCAATGTTTTCTCCATATGTTGTACTTGGAGGACCACCTAAACATGCAGCAATCATTGTTGCAATACCATCACCAAACATAGAACGATCTAAACCAGGATCTTCAATTAAATCTTTTTCTACAACTTTACTTAAAACTAATTGATGACCAATATGTTCCGCGATAGGAACAATAGTAACAGGAATCATAAGAAAAATAACATACCAAGATAATGTTGGTGTATAATCGATAAATGGGATTGTAAATTCAGGAATCATAAACCATTTAGCTTGTATTACAGGATCAAGATTAATAACTCCCATAGCAATAGAAAATAAATATCCTCCAATAATACCAACTAGTACAGGAATTACACTCAAAAAACCACGACTAAATATAGCAGTAATAATTGTAATGATTAAAGTAACAAAACCAATTGTAACATATGTTAAATCATAATTTCCCGTAGGGTTATTCATAACCATTTTTATTGCAGTAGAAGCAAGTCCTAATCCTATAACCATAATTACAGGTCCAACAACAATGGGAGGAAGTAATTTCATAAGCCATTTAGTACCGGCTTTTGCAATTAATAAAGCAACTAAAGAATAAGTAACTCCGACCAAAAAACTTCCAACTAAGTAACTTCCAAGCTACACCACTATCGGTTTTGCTTCCATAGCTTTCATAACATAATAGGATTATAAAAGCAAATGTGGAACCTAGAATAAGATGGAACTTTACCTTTGTATCAATTAAAACCAATGTTTCCTATTCCGCTGATATAAGCGCGATAGATGGCTCATGCTGTTGTGAAGGAACAAGAACAGTTGCGCCAAACATAGCAAAAAGGTGTTGTATACTAAGTAAAACACCTTGTCCTAATTTTGGTTTCTCATTGATGGCCAAGATAATTTTTTGATTTTTCTTTAGACTCATATCTAAGTATTGAAGTTATGTATTTTGTTTGTTTTGCAAAACTAATTGAAAATCTATAAATAATGTAAGTATTTATTAGAATTGTATAAGGTTTTATAATAGGTTATTTCAGAAATTTACCTAACCAAAAATCAAATTTATTATGGAAACAAAAGAATTAAAATTTAAAACAAATATAAATTGTAGTGGTTGTGTTAGTAAAGTAAAACCCTTTTTAGATAAACTTGAAAATACTGACTACTGGCAAGTTGATACAACAAATGAGAATAAGATATTAACTATAAAAACAAAACTTTCTGATGAAAAAATTATTGATACAATAGAAGAAGTTGGTTTTGAAATAGAACTATGAGATACAATTTTAATCTACAGTAAATTTAGTAATAACTTATTAGAATAAAAAGCTACTAGAAAAGTAGCTTTTTTTATATTTACATCATGGAAAATGTACAATTAGGAAATACGGATTTACAGATAGCACCAATTATTTTCGGAGGAAATGTTTTTGGTTGGACATTAAATGAAGAAGAATCATTTAGAATTTTAGATATTTTTATTGATAGAGGTTTCAATACAATTGATACGTCAAATAATTATTCTCATTGGGTTTCTGGAAATGTAGGAACTGAGTCAGAAAAAATTATTGGAAAATGGTTAAAAGAAAGAAATTTAAGAGATAAAATAGTTCTAGCAACAAAAGTAGGAGGTAGAGTCTTAAGAGATAACCTATACTACAAGCACATATTTAAAAGAATAGGAATTTTGATCGTTTACACGATTACCATCGATCTTATCAACACATTATGACGATACAAAAACACTGTAGAGGAAACATTATCAGGATATAATTCAAATTATAAAAGAAGGTAAAGTAAGGTTTATTGGAGCTTCTAATTTTTCTTCAGAAAGATTAATTTGTTCTTTGGATAAATCATCTTTGTTTAATTTGCCTGCATACAAAACTTTACAACCAGAATATAATTTATATGATAGACAGCATTTTGAAGAATTTTTACGTCCAGTAGCAGAAAAATATAATTTAGCTGTAATTCCATATTATAGTTTAGCAAGTGGATTTTTATCTGGAAAATATAAATCAGAAGAAGATTTAGAGAATAGTGCAAGAAAAGATAAAGTAAAAAAATACCTAAATGAAAAAGGATTTAAAATTTTGGATGCTTTATCTCAATTATCTTTAAAGTACAATGTTTCTTATTCTGCTATTTCATTAGCTTGGTTATTAAAGCAACAAACAGTAGTAGCACCAATTGCAAGTGCAACAAAAGAAAATCATATTGATTCTTTTATTGATGCTGTTCAATTAAATTTATCAGAAGAAGATTTAGCAATTTTAAACGAAGCTAGTACTTATTAATATAATAAATGGAAAATAATATAACAAAACCTAAACTAACACCTATCATTTTATGGATAATGATAATTGGTAGTGGATTAGTTGTTGCAAATAATTACTACAATCAACCATTATTATCTCTAATTTCTAAGGAATTTAAAGTTCCTGAAAGTAAAGTATCAACAATTGCTATGTTAACACAAATAGGTTATGCTTTTGGTTTGTTATTCATCATCCCTTTAGGAGACTTATTAAAGAGGAAAAAATTAATTCTTATAGATTTTATTTTTATAATTTTATCATTATTAGGAATGTATTTTTCACATCCTAATTTGGTTATTTCTCTTGTTTTTATAGGTTTCACTTCTGTAGTACCTCAAAGTTTTTGTCCAATGGCTTCAGAATTGCAGATCCTGCTAAAATCTCAAGCAATAGGAATGGTTAGGAGTGGATTTTTATGGTTTTACTATCTCGTGATTAGTGGTTTTTAGGTGATATTAGGTTGGCGAGTAGTTTATTTAATTGGTTCGGGTCATGTATGTTTTCTTTGATATTAATTTACATTTTTGTTTACCAGAATACAACCTAATTACAAAGGTTCATATTCTGGTTTAATGAAATCTATAACTCAACTTATAAAAAATGAACCTGTACTAAGATTAGCTGCATTTAGAGGAGCAACAGGTTTTGCTGCATTTAGTGCATTTTGGACTACTTTAGTTTTTCATTTAGAACAAGCTCCATTTCATACGGGAAGTGGAATTGCAGGAGCATTTGGTTTAATAGGAGCTGTAGGAGCTCTGGCAGCTGCATTAGTAGGGAAAGTAAATAAATATTTATCACTAAAGAGAATAATATTTTACTCAATTATTATCATGTTATTTGCATGGGGTTTCTTTTATCAATTCGGATTCACATATTGGGGATTGATAATAGGAGTTATTTTAATTGATTTGGGATTACAATCTATGCACGTTTGTAATCAAACACAAATATTTGCGTTAAATCCGACAGCAACAAATAGATTAAATACAGTTTATATGACTAGTTATTTTATTGGTGGTTCTTTAGGAACATATATAGCAGCAAATGCTTGGGGAAAATTTCAATGGAATGGCGTTATTGCTGTTGGAATTGTCTTTACAATTCTGTGTTTTGTATCTCATGTAATTTTTACAAAAAATCAAAAATAAATGAAAAATTTTTCTTCAGAAGTAATTTATAAAACTGCAAGAAGCAGTGGTTCAGGTGGGCAAAATGTGAATAAAGTAGAAACGTTAGTTACTGCAAAATGGAATGTACTTAGTTCACATTTTTTTTCTGAAGAAGAAAAGAATTTAATATTAGAGAAGCTAAAAAATAAAATTAATACAGAAGGTTATCTTCAAGTTTCTTCTCAAGAATCTCGTTCACAATTAGACAATAAGATGACTGCTATAAATAAACTATTAAATTTAGTAGATAAAGCTCTACTTGTACAGAAAGCAAGGAAGCAAACTAAACCAACTAAAGCTTCTAAACAGAAAAGATTAAATCAGAAGAAACAACAAGCAGAAAAAAAAGAAAATCGTAGAATGAAATTTTAAAATTCATTAAAATAGCAATAAACAATTAATAATTGAATTAATAGAACAAAAAACATCTTCAACTTGAATGATGTTTTTTTTGTTTTATGATGAAAAATTATCATAGATAAAATAGATCCTAAACTTCCTCCTAATAAAGAAAAAAGAAATAATGTGTTTTCTGGAATTCTATTTTTTTTATTCTTTGCTAAATATTTATCTATTCCAAAAAGTATAAAAGATATAATTTATAATAATAAAATATATAAATACATTTTAAGCTATTTTTTGCTTTTTAAATGCATCTATTCAAAATATAGAATAGTTTCTACTTTATTTAAATTGATTAATAATTTTCTTAGTACTATTATTAATATGAAAACATTGTGTAATTTGTAGAATATTTTAAAAAATCAAATAACCTAAATAATGATACTAAAAAAATCAAATGTTGAGTCTAATAATTTAAGAGATAATAAAGTTATTTTCAACGAAATAGAACAAATTTCTGAAAAAGATTTAAAACCTGTAGTTCCTTTTGCATGTACATCTCTAATTATAAAAGATAAAAAAGGGAATGTATATCATGGAAGAGGAATGGAATTTACAACAGATTTACTTACCTCCAAGTCTTAATTTTTCCAAAGATCATGTATTTCACATTATGTACCAGATAAGTCTTGGTTTAAAATATGTTGCAAAATATCCAATTATTGCAATTACTGATCCTGTTAGTGAAGAAAATCCTAGAGGAGCTACAGAAGGTATTAATCAAGCTGGCTTAGCTTTTAGTTTAAATATGATTCATAATACTGGCTTACCAGATCCAGATCCTAAAGATTATAGTAAAACAGTTCCTTTTATGAATATAGGAGAATGGGCATTGGCTAATTTTTCAACTATAGAGGAATTAAAAGAAGGTTTGAAAGGTAATGTAGTTTTTTGGTCAGAAAGTTTATCTATGCTAGGTAATCTTAAATCTCCTTTCCATTTTGCTATTTATGATAAAAATGGAGGAAGTATTGTTATTGAGATTTCAAACAATAATCT